TGACAGTAGTATCAAGAAAGCTGACCGTCCAGAAGGAATGGCAAACAACTGGACGTAAATTTGCCTAGAAAAACCACACAACAGCCAGTGGCTGTTAGGGTTGGTTCTGCAACGTCCTGTAAAGGATACGCAAGTAATCTTTTTCTCATCATAGTTCGTGTTCAGTTAGTTCATTTAAACTAGCATAACTGCAGTAACCTCCCTTGCTTTTCTGCATGGCCGAACGTAGTAGTTAGTAGTCGTAGATTTTTGACCCCACCAGGACATCACACAAGCGATAAGCACCCGATGACACAAAGTGCCACCATGTGGACGAGGATCGCCGTGGAGAGGTCACAGAAACCTCGTTCAGCCATTAGACCATATTTATGGCCAGGCTATACTGCGGCCCCTGGCAAGAGCCAGGGTAGGGCTTCAAATAACGAACAATTGCATCTAACAAGGAGATGAATGGGTTAGATGCAAGGCTGAACGTGATGGCGTCACAATCTCTCTTCATGTCACAATGTAAGTACATCACTCTGTAACGCAGAAGAAGGTTTCACCCCACTCCATTCTCTGTGTGGGTTCCAGGGCCACATCGTAGGGAAAACAATAGACTCAGTGTCTACCCAATAAGCATGTCGTAAGAGTAGAATAATTGGGTGCTTCCTTCAAAGTAGGAGTACATCTGATTGAGAGGCAAGGAACCAGCTGTCTGCATACATATAATCAAAATCTGTTAAAGCACACGAAGAAGAAGAAAAAGAAGAAGAAGGAGAAGAAGGAGAAGAAGGAGAAAAAGAAGAAGAAAAAGAAGAAGAAGAAGAAGAAGAAGAAGAAGAAGAAGAAGAAGAAGAAGAAGAAGAAGAAGAAGAAGAAGAAGAAGAAGAAGAAGAAGAAGAAGAAGAAGAAGAAGAAGAAGAAGAAGAAGAAGAAGAAAAAGAAGAAGAAGAAGAATAAGAAAAAGAAAAAGAAAAAGAAGAAGAAGAAAAGAAGAAGAAGAAGAAGAAGAAGAAGAAGAAGAAGAAGAAGAAGAAGAAGAAGAAGAAGAAGAAGAAGAAGAAGAAGAAGAAGAAGAAGAAGAAGAAGAAGAAGAAGAAGAAGAAGAAGAAGAAGAAGAAGAAGAAGAAAAAGAAAAAGAAAAAGAAGAAGAAGAAGAAGAAGAAGAAGAAGAAGAAGAAGAAGAAGAAGAAGAAGAAGAAGAAGAAGAAGAAGAAGAAGAAGAAGAAGAAGAAGAAAACGAAGAAGAAGAAGAAAAAGAAAAAGAAAAAGAAGAAGAAGAAGACTACACTCCATAAATTCTTTGAGGATGCTATCAGTGCTATCTCTCCGACCAGCAAAATGCATTTCCTAATGACTGCAAATGCTGCTTCAAATGCCACTAGATGCCCGTTAGCATCCTCAACAGAATCGACCACACCTGCTAAAGAAAGTGCTGACCAGCTGGCAACTAATGCACCAATGCAAACAGGAAGAAGCACTGACCGAACTGATATCATCAACGCTGTACGGACTAGGTTGGGTATACTACACTATTATCCAGTTTCGTACTTTTTATGACAAAAGTTTTCGTCATTTGAAGCCCCATCCTGGCTTTTGCCAGGGGCCGTAATATAGGCAGGCTATAAATATGGCCAATTGTCTGAACGCGGTTTCTGGGACCTCTCCACGGCGATCCTCATCCGCATGTTGGCACTTTGTGTCATCGGGTGTTTATCGCTTGTGTGATGTCCTGGTGGGGTAGAAAGTCAGTCAGTCAGACTATGTTGGGGATAATGGCGAATCTCTGACGCTATCACGACTGCGTGACCGAGGAGTTGAGCTTGGTAAAGCACGTGTATGTCGTCTTCGAGTTAAAGACAGGGGAAACTATAACCAACTCCTCATGGGAACAATCAGCAGAAGAGTGGCTGCTTCATCGGAGGACTGAGCACGCACGGGGTTGCCCGATGTGCAAACATGTTGATAACATAACACCTGCTAATATAACTTTTCCTTGTTTCGGATAAAGCTATTGGGATGGGTTTCTTTTGGTCATGATTGCTATATCAGTACTGTAACTATTTTACTACTGTAATGTTACTATATATTTTACATATGTAACATAATCATATGTTACATTTCTCTCACATTATTTATTTGTGTTTCACTTCTGCTATGCAATTCTAGAAAGAAAGAAAGTAGAAGACCAGGAGAAAGAAAGATATAGAAAGAAAAAAGGAAAGAAAGAAAGAAAGAAAGAAAGAAAGAAAGAAAGAAAGAATGAAAGAAAGAAAGAAAGAAAGAAAGAAAGAAAGAAAGATATAGAAAGAAAGAAAGAAATAAAGAAAGATAAAGAAAGAAATAAAGAAAGAAAGAAAGAAAGATATAGAAAGAAAGAAAGAAGTAAAGAATGATATAGAACGAAAGAAAGAAAGATATAGAAAGAAAGAAAGAAAGAAAGAAAGAAAGAAAGAAAGAAAGAAAGAAAGAAAGAAAGAAAGAAAGAAAGAAAGAAAGAAAGAAAGAAAGAAAGAAAGAAAGAAAGAAAGAAAGAAAGAAAGAAAGAAAGAAGCAAGACAGAAAGAGAAAAAAATGGCAGAAAAGATATAGAAAGAAGTAAAGAATGATATAGAACGAAAGAAAGAAAGACATAGAAAGAAAGAAAGAAAGAAAGAAAGAAAGAAAGAAAGAAAGAAAGAAAGAAAGAAAGAAAGAAAAAAAAGAAAGAAAGAAAGATAAAGAAAGAAATAAAGAAAGAAATAAAGAAAGATAAAGAAAGAAATAAAGAAAGAAATAAAGAAAGATATAGAAAGAAGTAAAGAAGTAAAGAATGATATAGAACGAAAGAAAGAAAGAAAGAAAGAAAGAAAGAAAGAAAGAAAGAAAGAAAGAAAGAAAGAAAGAAAGAAAGAAAGAAAGAAAGAAAGAAAGAAAGAAAGAAAGAAAGAAAGAAAGAAAGAAAGAAAGAAAGAAAGAAAGAAAGAAAGAAAGAAAGAAAGAAAGAAAGAAAGAAAGATAGAAGAAAGACAAAAAGAGAAAAAATTGATAGAAAAAAATAAAAAGAAAGACAAGATATAATAAAAGGAAGAAGAAGACCGAAAAAGAGAGAGCAACAGAAAAAAAAATTAATATAAAGAAAAAAATAAAGAGATAAGAAAGAAATGCAATGAAAAATTGCCAGGATTTTTTCCTGTGTTGCCAAATTAATACAATCAAAATGTATTTTTTTTTTGTATGTCTTTCTCTTTTATTGTTTCAAATTCTAGATACACAATATGCGGTTTTTCGCTTATGAAACAAACAGATAAATTTGTATGTCACAGAATTTTATCAGTTTGTATGTGTCATTGCAGCTGAATTCCAAGATAAGTTATTGATATGAATGTATACTTTCATACGAGCATTCGCCTGAAGCAATTCACTAGTATGTGAAACAGATGTAGTGGAATTTCTTCTACATTAGTTTCGTTTTATTGTATTGATTGTTTATAATTTTACATATTTACAGATATAATATGGTGAAATGGTTCGGCCATTTAACACTTAACCAGCAGTTAGTCTACTACAGGGAGAAATGTTATATATGCCAGACTAGATCTGATATAAGTAAAGTAAAGTAAAGGACCCTTTTCCACGCCTTTAGGCGTATAGGGCATATAGGGCTAGACCTATATTTTATAGACCAACGGCACAAGATGGGTGATGTGGTCAGCATCACGCCGGCTGCCTCTACTTCCCGGGACTGCACCCGGTACCCACTGGGTCGACCTCGGAGCCAAGGTCATATTTGAAGAAAAATCCGGCTCCGCCAGGGAACGAGCCCACGACCTTCTGATCCGTGGCGCGTGTCTAGCCGCTCGGCCACGGCGACTCCCAGATCTGATATAGAAGCCGATAATACAAATTGTGGATACTCGGACTTGGGGGTCCATGTAGGCGATAATTTAGTAACCGATTGCTTCCGCTACTTTTGACAAAGATGCCAGCTTTTACCTTTTAGAAAGCAATGGCAAACTAATGACTATAATCAAATTGTCGAGTAAAAAAACAACAACCAGCAAATGCTGGGTCTAGTTTATGACGCCGTGAAAATAATACTCAATGAACTGATGTGATAAGTATTTGGTTGTAAGAATTGTACATTGCCTTTTTCTTCAAAGGTCTTGAGTGTACTAGGGGCAGGGAAAGAACACCAGTACGTGGTTTGGGGAGTTGATTTCGGTGGTTTGTTGGGCTTTTGAAGAGAACTCACGTAGCGTACTTGTATGAGAGGCGAAGAACATGTAGTTTATACGCAGATTGGTCAGATCTGTAAAACGGATGTGCACCCAGCAACGCAAGCACTGGGACAAGATCAAATTTCATGAAAACATTAACTTTCCGCCAAAGTTTCGAGTCAGTGAGCGCAAACAAGAAAAATATCCCGAGAGTTCTTCCTGTCTGTGAGTAATTGAAATACTTTTGTTGAAATTATCTAGGAATGTTTCAATTGCGAAGCGAAACAAATCACTGTTTAGTTTAAACCAGTCCTTGAAACTTTTAGTTGAATTCGTTTTGTGGAATGAATTATCCAAAGTTCGGGTGTAAAGTCAAGTTTTCAATTAGTAGTCTCAATTTTCTTGACGATTGTCTACAGCTGTGGGAGTGGTTAAGTGTTTGAGTACTCTCCTGGCGAAATTGAAGATATGACGTTTGAGGAAATCCTGGTTAATAGTTTCATGATGAAATCAAAGATTCGACTTTTAGGGAAGTCAAAACGCCAGCCGACAGAACACACCCCCGCTAACACTAGAAGTGGTTCAGTTTTGAGTATTTTCTGGGTGACATCGACGACCTGACATGTCTTGAAGACATAATGAATATTTTATGTGTGACATCGACGACCTGACATGTCTTGAAGACATAATGAATATTTTCCTGGTAAAATCCGACATCGAAGGGAAGTCAGATCGACAACCGTTAGAACTCATCCTTGTCAGCTTGTAAGAATGATCTATTATTATAATATTTTCTTAATAACATCTAATATCCGATGTTTAAGGAAGACATGATCGACAGCCTCCAGAACCTGTCCCCGCACAGCTGTAGAAGTTGGAGGTACAGCTGGGGGTCAGGTTACCACACAACCCCTCGGAGGCACCTCCATAGCAAGGCGACGGACAGTTCTGGCACAAGGGCGGGGAGAAACCATATCTGGAGAGCAGTCGTTGGCATATGGCGTCGTTTTGTTTAGATTTGATGTAGCTCATCGCCGACGGCGTCGAGCAGGCGACTCGACACGTTGGGGACGGGGAGTAGGGGCAACAGGGCAGGGGGAAGTGTTTGGCTTTGGGGCAGCTACAGGGCCCACCAGTTGGACATGGACAGGCAGCCCGCATGGTACAAGGCGGGATTGATAGGTATCGTTTGCTGGTGGCGTCGATTCGTTGACAGTAGGGAAACACTGTGAATCTTCGCGGGCACGGCAAACAGCAAGGTTTGGTGCAGCATGGCGGACAAAGGCTGATGGGGGGTTTGCTCCCTAGGTGACAGGAGTCGAGACTACAGGGAGACTTTTTGTCCACACACGGTCCAGACGATCTCTCCCGGCTCGATTTACAGAGTGGCGGGGGACTGCAGTACGGTGATTTGATTGCACAACAGCACGAGGGACGCGAGCAGCTCCGAGACCTTCTGCTGATGCCGTCCAAGGGACTGGAGCACTTGAAGCGTCTGCATCTGGGGCGGCCGGTGGAGACAGCACAGGGCCGGCAGCAGGGGCTGATCTGGGGCATGACCACGGCAAGGGGGGAAGGCGACCTCAGCAGTGTCGAGTGGAAGCTTGCAGAACGACAAGGCAGCTTGGGCCCTCCGCATGAGAGATCTGGGTCACACCGACAGAAGCGGGATCTGGGTTTGGAGGCGCCGAAGCAACTGGTACAAGTTGAACACGGCATGCTGCTGCTTTTTATAACTTTGTAGTCACGCTTGACTTGGCACGGAGTTTCAGAGTTCTTCTGTGAAGATGACGGACTTTTGTTTGATCCTGTTGCGCACTTGCTCACGGGTTGTAACTGTTTACAAATACGGTGTTGCTTTGATGGTTGATCTTTTGGACTTAACTGTATTCTAATCGTTTGTTTCTCCCCCCTTTCTCTAGAACGAGAGAGGGAACTTTTTGACCTAGATTTCCGGCTCACACAAGGCAATGGAGGACAGTAGAATGACCGGAACTTACCCGGACACGAACACTTTCGAACGAATGATCTGTTCTTGAAAGGATTAAAGAAAGACTTTGCCGCGTTGTCTTTCTCTTCCTTTACATCACCTTCGGACGATGAACTGGACACTGGAGGTTTTGATCTAGCTTTTAACTCGGCAATAGCACCGGCGAGCCTGCTCCCTATGTGGGTATCGCTGCTCCGTTGAGAGTTCCCGCTGATCCTTGGGGTAGTTCCACTTCCGGGACGTTTGTGTTTCTTGTGCTTATGCTTTTTACCGCGTTTGACCTCTGCCGGATTGCTGTCTACGTCAAACGAAGCGGTCGATGCTGAAGAAAAATGATCAGTCGTATAATTTTTCAAATATTCTTTCCTGCTGGTGGCAACTTGGACAACTTGTTGTGCTTGTTCCTCTTCTGTCAGTTGTTCCTGGAGATTTATTTGCGATGTGCGTCTGACCTGTGGCTTTGTCCGGGATCTGAAACCTTGAACTACCTCCCGAACCTTGCTGACTAAAACAGCCCTAGCGACTTCACCACTATCCCAGACAGTTAAGGGCACACGTTTACAACAAGCAGGAAGTTTGGTGCCAAATCCTAGAAAGGATAGAATCCACTCCCAACAATTTTGCTTACACTTACACTCCTTAGATTTATAAATTGGTAGGAACTCCTTGTTATCAGCCCACTCCTCTTTGATTTCAACCCGCTCTTCTTTTGTCACAGGTGCGACAGGTTTATCTTCCGCTGCTTTGACTGTGTTTTCAGAGAGCAAGTTCAAATGTCTCCGCAGCCCGCCACAACTCGTGCAGTAGATCTTGTCTTTAGCAAGCGACCATCTTCGGCCCACGTCAACACACGATTCATAACATGCCATCATACACACCCGCGACTGGACGGATTTGTGGCATCCTTGCTGCTGTAAGCAACAAAGTGCTAGTCGCCACACTCAAAATCTCTTTTTTTAATACATTTCAAGCAACTTCATTATCTTTACCCCTTGCAGAATTTAATTACAAACCTGGATGATTGTGTTCTGGCCAGCGAAATTACGAATGCAAAACTGCGATTCAGCGCAGTCTCCGAGGAGATGTTTTCTTGGTACAATCGGGTCGCGATATTTGCAGGTAAACAGTTATTAAATTGATTCTGTAGAGCATCTGCCTAGTTTTGCCATTATGCGGAGTTTGAACCCAGTACTTTCCTCTACCGAGTGGGCGCCATCGCAGATGTTGTGTGAGGATCTGATTGTCATAGCAAATATATGACGTCACTGATTGAGATGGGGCGTCGCGGCAAGTGCTGTATGCGTTTGTGTCCTAAAGGGAATCTTGGCTGCTAAATATAGACTCTCACCATTTAATATATTAGATGGGCATTGCTAAGTCGCGTGTTGAGCCAAGAACTGACATTGTAGCACTCATGACATTCCCATAAGCGCTCCGTTCTCATTTTTAGCAGCCAGCCAAGAGTTCCAGTTTTGATGATTCAAGTAGCATTTTTACATTTTCACATTGCCACTGTGTGTAGATTGTCGACCAGATAGCCTGGCCACTCCTAACTGTACACTTGTCCCCAAAAAAACGTTGAATCCATCCATTTTACAGCACCCAGGACACTCCCACAAGCACTCGGTCCACATCTTCAGCAGCAAGTGAAGAGTTCCAGTTGTGATGGCACCAGTAACTGTCTAATTGTATATCCGTCTGGCCTTTCCCTTGAGTGTTGAGCGTCGGCCATACCCCCTAGTAAATTGCTGACAGCACTATTCTTTCCAGAACATATCGACCGGATCGTGCATCCACATTGTTCACTTGCTCCCAAAGGGTCTGACCACATCCCGCTTGTCATGCATAAATTCACTAACAGTGGTGCAGAACCAGCCACTCTGTCTACCTGTTCATCTCACAACACTCATGCATGCCCTGGAGAAAATATCCAAAGAACGTTAACTACCCGGGACCCCTGAAGCAATGCTTTCCACTCTTGACGGAGCATACCTGTGGCCACCTTCCTCAACATGCTTTGTGAACCGATGACAATCACGACATCTGTGTTCTCACGCCAAAGGAAAGCTGCCATGACTACCCCCAACTCCACTCTCAGACTACCCCCAACTCCACTCTGAGACTACCCCCAACTCCACTCTCAAACTACCCCCCAACTCCACTCTCAGACTACCCCCAACTCCACTCTCAGACTACCCCCAACTCCACTCTCAGACTACCCCCAACTCCACTCTCAAACTACCCCCAACTACACTCTCAAACTACCCTCAACTCCACTCTCAGACTACCCCTACCTCCACTCTCAGACTACCCCCACATCCACTCTCAAACTACCCCCAACTTCACTTTCAGACTACCCCTACCTCCACTCTCAAACTACCCCCAACTCCACTCTCAAACTACCCCCAACTCCACTCTCAAACTACCCCCAACTCCACTCTCAAACTACCCCCCAACTCCACTCTCAGACTACCCCCAACTCCACTCTCAAACTACCCCCAGCTTCACTCTCAAACTACCCCCAACTCCACTCTCAGACTACCCCCAACTCCACTCTCAAACTACCCCCAGCTTCACTCTCAAAACTACCCCCAACTCCACTCTCAGACTACCCCCAACTCCACTCTCAAACTACCCCCCCAACTTCCCTCTCAGACTAACTCCAACTCCACTCTCAAACTACCCCCAACTACTAAACTCTCAAACTACCCCTTCCACTCTCAAACTACCCCCAAACTCCACTCTCAAACTACCCCCAGCTTCACTCTCAAACTACCCACAACTCCACTCTCAAACTACCCCCCAACTAAACTCTCAAACTACCCCCTCCACTCTTAAACTACCCCCCCCCCAACTCCACTCTCAAACTACTCCCCAACTCCACTCTCAAACTACCCCCCAACTAAACTCTCAAACTACCCTTCCCCCCAACTCCACCCTCAAACTACCCCCCCCCCCCCCCCAACTCCACTCTCAAACTACCCCCCAACTCCTCTCTCAAACTACCCCCAACTCCACTCTCAAACTACCCTTACCCCCAACTCCACCCTCAAACTACCCCCCCCCCCAACTCCACTCTCAAACTACCCCCCAACTCCACTCTCAAACTACCCCCCCCCTCCCCAACTCCACTCTCAGACTACCCCCAACTCCACTCTCAAACTACCCCCAGCTTCACTCTCAAACTACCCCCAACTCCACTCTCAGACTACCCCCAACTCCACTCTCAAACTACCCCCAGCTTCACTCTCAAACTACCCCCAACTCCACTCTCAGACTACCCCCAACTCCACTCTCAAACTACCCCCCAACTTCCCTCTCAGACTAACTCCAACTCCACTCTCAAACTACCCCCAACTAAACTCTCAAACTACCCCTTCCACTCTCAAACTACCCCCAACTCCACTCTCAAACTACCCCCAGCTTCACTCTCAAACTACCCACAACTCCACTCTCAAACTACCCCCAACTAAACTCATAAACTACCCCCTCCACTCTTAAACTACCCCCCCCCAACTCCACTCTCAAACTACTCCCCAACTCCACTCTCAAACTACCCCCCAACTAAACTCTCAAACTACCCTTCCCCCCAACTCCACCCTCAAACTACCCCCCCCCCCAACTCCACTCTCAAACTACCCCCCAACTCCTCTCTCAAACTACCCCCAACTCCACTCTCAAACTACCCTTACCCCCAACTCCACCCTCAAACTACCCCCCCCCCCCCCCCCCCCCAACTCCACTCTCAAACTACCCCCCAACTCCACTCTCAAACTACCCCCCCTCCCCAACTCCACTCTCAGACTCCCCCCCCCCCCAACTCCACTCTCAGACTACCCCCACGTCCATTCCCTAACTAGATGTTGTAGTAACATACGCTTGACTTTGTTGCGATAAGCGTCCAATTTGCACCCAGGTCCCAGTGCTTAACGCATTTGTTTGTTTCAAAGCCGCACACTGGCTGTTGTCTGGGGGCCATAATTTAACACAACCTATGGATTGAACAAGGTTTTGTGGAACCTGTCCCCGAGTGGTCGTCATTCCAATGGTGGCACTTTGTGTCACCGGGTTGTTAATCGCTCGGTGTGATGTCCTGGTAGGGTTGAGCGTCAATTAGTCAGCGATAAGCCACCTTCCAACGCCCCCTCTTGCTTTGTTTTCCTACTTTGAAAGCTGCGCCTCGTTGATTTGTCATTCCCCCACCCCTCTCTTTTGTCAATATCTGCTTTATGTACCCCGGACGTAGCGGTTTAATAGATGCGTTGATTTGATTTAAGAACCCACATCACAGCATTCAGGACATTTCCATAAGCGCCTCGCCCCTTACTTCAGCAGCCGGCGAAAAGTTTTAGTTATGTTTGTACCAGTATATGTTTGATTGTATGTCAGTCTAGCCTTTCTACTGAGTTCATTAGATGATCATTAGCCGAGCCAGGGCGCGCTCGGTTGTTTAGTATGCTGCGAGGAGGTGAAGGCTATCAGTGACCCCTTGAACCCACCTTATTTTACGTCTCCCTCTGCCTCTTGAGGCTTCACATGATTTAATTACCTCTTCTGAACAGGGCTGCGTACGTGGCTTGGTCGTTTCGAGTCCAACTCATAATTTCAACGTACCGCGATCGAAGCCCACTGCTGGCTGCGTGCATTTTTATCTTGGTATGGGGCGTCGCAGGTAGACCCAGCCTAAAATGGACGTCAGGATGTATGTCCTGGGGAAATAAAGACGACCGGTGGGTGCTTTCTAAATATCCTACCCCAAACAGGGGAGGTGCACAGGTCTCGGGTCAGTCTAATATTTCAGGGGGGGGGTGGTGGTAGATAGGCTGCATGCAGTCGTGGGACCTAGGCTGAACTATCTCGTGGGACGTAGGTGGGTTGTGGTTAGGGCCAGTTCTAGAAGTTTTGGGGTCGTTAAAAGCATCAGAAAACCGGGAAACAGTCTTAACACTCTCTAAAATGTTTGACTTGTCTGTGACGTCATCTGGGGGAAGGATATTACGAATGAACCGACCGGAGTAGTGCTGATGTAGGCAAATAGGGAACTAGAAGACAGACCAAAAAAAAAAAAAAAAAAAAAAAAAAGTAAGAAAAAGACAAAATAGAAATAAGAACAGGAAGTAGTATAGAAGTAGTAGTATTAGTAGTAATAGTAGTAGTAGTAGTAGTAGTAGTAGTAGTAGCAGCAGCAGCAGCAGTAGTATTAGTAGTAGTAGTAGTAGTAGTAGTAGTAGTAGTAGTAGTAGTAGTAGTAGTAGTAGTAGTAGTAGTAGTAGTAGTAGTAGTAGTAGTAGTAGTAGTAGTAGTAGTAGTAGTAGTAGTAGTAGTAGTAGTAGTGGTAGTAGTAGTAGTAGTAGTAAAAGAAGAAGAAGGAAAAAAAGAAAGAAGAAGAAAAAGATAAAGAAAAAAAGAAGAAGAAGAAGGAGAAGAAGAAGAAGAAGGAGGAGGAGAAGAAGGAGAAGAAGAAGAAGAAGAAGAAGAAGAAGAAGAAGAAAAAGAAGAAGAAGAAGAAGAAGAAGAAGAAAAAGAGTAACGAGAAAAGTAAAATGAAGGAAAATTAGAAACAAAATGGACAGAAAAAAAGAAAGATAGAAAGAATGAATCAGAAAAAAAAAAAAAAACAACGAACAGAGAAAGAATAGTATTATTAATAAAAAGGGCCTTGTCATAAAAAGCCAAACATGGAGGCTAAATTTAAACAAATCAAAATCAGGTCAGTGATAAAATGCCAGATGCGAGATAAAATCTCAGATGCAAGGTAAAAAATCAGATGGGAGATGAAATGCCCGAGACAAGCTGGCAGGTTCATCACTGAGACCAAATTAGAAGCCCGGGTATTTAAAGCAACCATGGCGCGGTTACGTGTCTGTGTAAT